CAAGGCCGCTAGATCCCACCCCACCATTGCCCACTGAGGATTTGGTGGGCAGTGAGGTGTGGAGGATTCTTTCTACAGCTGTGTGGTCAGTCACCTCCCTCTCTGGGCCCTAGCTTTACTCTCTGATGTAAGAAAGACCATAAAAATATCTTTCCAATTCTTGGTTTTCCTTTCCTCATTTATCTAATTCTAAAGCTCTAGTAGTCTATGCATTTCTGGACAAAGAAAATCATCAGAGTTAATGGAGTCCTGGTGTGGTGCTGTGGGTTTATGCACTAGACTGCAAAGTCGGACAGAACCACAAGGTTGGCGGTTCAAGCTCACCAGATGCTCCTCAGAAACCCTATACAGGGTAGCTATGGGTTGGAACTGACTCAGCGGCACTCAGTAACAATGACATAAAGACTCCTTGGCTGGTTTCTCACTAGAAGCAGGGCAAACAAGCTAGAGAAGGGCAGTGGTGTCTCTAGGGGAGTGTGGGGGGTGCAGAGAGAGGGGGTGACACCAAAGTGACTGTATGTAAGATTTTTGTGCTGTTTTAGCAGAAGTCTTTATTTTCTAAAATTATCCTTATAGTTACTTGTAACCATTAACAATGTTTTTTCATAAGCCCTGCTTATATGCATGACAATAAATAGAAAGCTCTTACTACAAACTTATGGAAACCTTTATGAAACAAAAATATCAAAACGTATAGTTACCGTTTCCTGACATCTCTCCATCTAGGTCTCCGCACTGCTGAAGGCAGTCTTCCCATCTCTCTAGTCCTTTCCTGAGGAGTTCTGTATTCTTCGGGTTACACACATCTAAATGGCAGTTTGGGCATCCTTGAAGGACTCAAATTGTGTTCCTTTTAAATCTTACTGAAATGTTAGTAAGAAAAGTAAGTCTGAAGGAGCAAGATCAGGGCTGTAGGGTGGTGGGTGGGGTAAGGTTTCCCAGTGAAATTCTCAAAGGGCAGCCCTACTACCTTTGAAGAGTGAGCAGGTGCATTGTTGTGATGGAAAAACCTTCCAGGACACAACTTTCCTGGACTTTTTCTCATCAATGCAGTTTTCTTTCTTAAAACTTCTTCCTAATTAGACCCTGTGACAGTTCTGTGAGAAAATGGATCACATAATTTTCTGAGCTGACCTCTCTACCTTGAACTTAAGTGGCCCAGTAGATCCTCTTGGGGGCAACTGTTTTGATTGAATCTTGGTCTCTGTATAGAATAGAAAAATCCAAGACTCATCCCCAGTTATGACTTGTTTTACAAAAACTCAACTTTAGTTTTGTTCAAAAGATTGATACAAAGATCAGCATTTTGCTTTAGTTGATCTTCACACATGGGACCAAGATGTTTGTTTATAACTGAAAACACCAACCGTATGAGATTCCAACTTTTGTAGCTGACATTTCAATGAAATCTATGGTCTTCTTCTACCAGTTTCTGGACTTCAGCTACAGTTTCTTCATTTGTCAAAGCTGACAGTCTTGGCTCATTATTGAGGGCTTCCTGATCTTCCTTAAAACACTTGTTCTGTTTAGAAACTGTGTTTTATGTGGACAATAATCTCATAAATTTGTTAAGCTTCAATGATTTGGGAAGTCCTGACCTCAAAAATGTTTTTACCATGACACAAAAAGTATTTCTTTGTTTTTGAAGACAACTAATGAGTCCTGGTATGGTACTGTAGGATGAGCTCTGACCACAAGGTCAATTTGAACTGCAAGGTCAGCAGTTCAAATCCACATATCCATCAGCCGCTCTTTGGAAATCCTATACTGGGTTGCTGTGAGTCGGAACCAACTGGATGGCACTTACCAATAACAGCAATGAGATTAAAGTTACTCTGGTATTATAGTGGGTTATGAGTTGAATCAATGTGGAATTTACAAAACAGTTTTGTTGCTAGTATTTATATATGAATCTTAAGGTCAGCAGTTCGAAACTACCAGCTATTCCGCGGGAGAAAGATGAGGCTTTCTGCTCCCGTAAAGATTTACAGCCTCGGAAACCCTGTACAGGGTCGCTATGAGTCAGTTCTGACCCACGGCACGTAACCAACCAACCAAGGAATATGACATCTAAATAATTTGTAATATATTTGTCACATATCATTCAGTGATTAAAGTTGATGACAGACATCACTAAGGATTCTGTCTGGTCTGGTCTGGGAGGCAATGCCCCTGGAGAAGGGTACTTTGAAAAACTGAGAAATGATTTGTTGCTATTGTGAGTGATGGCTACTCTTTAAGGCTGATCATATCATGTGTCATGATATTTTGAACTTCCTAAAATCAAGGTACTTAACATTCAGTCTTATTCTTGTGTGCCGTTGGGTAAGTCAGCTTCTCTGCCAGTTTCCTCATCTATAAATGAGAACGCCCATTCCCTCACCTCAACCCCCTTTCTATTCTAGCTGCTGGCCTATGCAGAACTTTGTAAAAAGACACTTTAACTCCCTCCTGTGGCTGCATAAGATACGTATTTAACTTCCTGGTAAAAATTCAGACTTCTATTGCCTGTAGAGGAGCTCTGGTGGCAATGTAGGTTAAACAATGGATTGCTAACCAAAATGTCAACAGTTCAAACCCACCAGCTGCTCTGTGGGAGAAAGATGAGGCTTTCTACTCCCATAAAGATCTACATCCTCAGCAACCCTGTACAACATTCAGCAGATGGTTTTACCATTCCTTCAATACAGATAGATCCCTGGTTGCACAGTGCGTTAAGTGGTGGACTGCTAACTGAAAGGGTAGTGCTTCGAACCCACTAACCACTCTGCAGGAGAAAGAGGAGGCAGTCTGCTTCTGGAAAGATTTGCAGTCTTGGAAATCTGGAAACCCTCTGGAGGAATTGTACTCCGTTCTATAGAGAGGGACACTGAGTCGGAATTGATGGAATGGCAGTAGTTTTTTTTTGTTTCGTTTTGGTTTTTTTTTGGGGGGGGTGGGTTATACAGAGATGATACTTAAAGATATTTAAACCACTGAGTGGCCAAACCTCTCCACTGTGCATTTTTGCAATAACTTATTTTCACTAAGGAAGACAGGTGGAATACTTTGCTCTGACTGGGAAAAAGGTGTGCTGTTTCTGGGATAAATTGAGAATGGCATTGCTCCTGAGTCGAACCTGAGTTCAGTGAGGTTCCTACACCTTGAATTTGGTTGGAATCCGACGCTCAAGCTGACTGAGCAGCTCGGAGCTCCTGCCAATGGCTCTCTCTCAGTTGATGGTGTGCATTGTAGCCCCCTTCTGGCCCAACGGCAGACTCCGCTGTTGAGTCCCTTTGATTCAAGGTCGCACACACTGGTGGGTTGAAACCCAAATCTCGTGCTTTTCCTACATTAATATTCTGCAGTTTGAGATGCATGCAATTAAGTGTTAAATTGAATTGCCAAGATCAGAGATCCTCTGGGTGTTCAGATGAGAGAGAAATTATTCATAGGAAATAAAATCTTTCTGGGAGTTCTGAATTCCACTTGCTTGGTGTAAATTGCTACTCTTCTGAAAGTAAATGGCTGAACTATTAGACAATGCATGTGTCTTTGATGTGGTCATTGGACATTACTGATACTGCATACATACCCTGAGATTTCAAAAAATGCTTTATTGAGAAGAATTGTGAGTTTGATGGCAGGACATCCTTTTTTTTTTTTCTCCTTAGAGAAACACTATTAAAACACCATCATCATGACTGGATAATTAAGTCAGTGAAGAAATGGTTTTAACATGAGACAGTAACAATAAACTTAGGTCTGGGGTTGGAGTTAAAGGCAAAGCTTATATAAAAATAACACTTTATGCAGTGCTTTTCAGCCTACAAAGCAGTATTACATAAGCATTTCATTTGATCTTCACGACAACCTTGTGAAGTAGGCATGATCCTCGTTTAACAAAACAAGGAAATGGAATTTTATGAAGGCTGCTTTTTTTTGCCCAGTGTCACTGTTAGGAAAATGGAAATATAGAACTTCTGATTTTTTTTAAACTCCTTATTCTGCATATGATTAAGAATTACTTACTAAAATCTCTGTAAATATGAAATGATTTCTGTAGGAAGTGACAGCCTCCAGGACTGGACTGTAAGAAGCTATAATTCCTGGAGCGTATGTGGCACCTTCTCGTCTTGGCACTGCCTCATGCTCACAAGCAGCAGTTAATTATGATTCTCTGCAAAGCTTGTGGCTGTTAGGTCCATTTCTCTGTGACTGATAGAATGAAGCAGGAATCTAAGCTCTTTTTTCATTGTCATCCAGCCCAGGGAGATAAAGAAGCAGGGAGTGTGTCTTGAGAATTCCAGCTACGATGGCTGTTATCAAACAGGCAGAATAAATGCCCATTCCCTAAAGAATGAAACGAAATAGCAAATATTTAACAAAAGGATGCATGCGAGTTCTTCAAAATGCTCTAGATTTACTCCCCACAACAATTCCTGGTCCTGGGATTTGTGTTTTTACAAATCTCGCCGCTCAAATAATAATTGAGACAACAGAATTTAACAGGACTTAGACTGTGACGATCTATTCAAGAGAACTAAATATTAAATATCTTTACCCTATTCATATCTGTTTTCATATTGGCTTTCCTTCTCTATCCAAAGAAAGAGTCTAGAAGGGAAGGTTGTAGCTTTTCACCTTTATGTGCCATGGCCACAAACAATGCTAGAACTTGTTTGACTGGCTCTAGTAAGGAACATAATAAACAAGACCTGAGTAAACAAACGGGAAATCTGTGTCACCCGTGGAGCTCAGCAGTGTAGGCTGTCTTCCAGGGCATTTAACAAATCAGTTCCCGCCCTCAGATTAAGTGCAAAGGTACTGCCAGAGAAATGCAGTATATTACCATGTAGGTAGCATGATTTAGGGAAGGAGCAAAACAGAAGCTATGCTATCTGCTATAGTCGTAAGACACTAAGTACCTTCAAAGGATCAGGGAGATTTTAATCTTTATGGCAGGAGCATGTATCAGTCTCTCTATCATGAATGCAGGTCATTTTTATCACCTTGGAATGTTAGACTTTAGCAAGTCTGGTGATGTAGCATGGTTGTACATGCTCGTGAGAAGAAATGACCTTCCCGTCCTTAATCTCCTGGGTGGTGGTGCATATTTTGACCAGTATCCGAGGCAGGGATCTGCAGACGCTGCAGGGCTCATGTCCCGTAGTGGAGGCTGAGGATGCACAGCAGCTGCATGGCACATGAACAGGGGCTGTGCATTCTGTGGCTCTAGCCTTAAAGGATGTGCAAGTGCGAGCGTCACATTTGGTGGCACACGGGTTACAGGGAAGCCTAGGGAACAAAACAGAAATTTACCTGTGACTGCAGGAAGGCAACAACGGCTCTGGAGAGGAATGGCAGTGGTTAGTGTTTCAACGAATGTCACGCAAAACAAGGACTGGCAAACATTCATTTTGTACTATACCAGCTGTTGTTAATGGCTCTTGGGCCCAGTACGACTCACGGTCACCTCATGTGTGCAGAGTAGAACTGCTCTGTAGAGTTTTTCAAGGCTCCGACCTTTTAGAAACAGATTGCCAGGTGTATCTTCTGGGTGGGTTCAAACTGCCAATCTTTAGGCTAATACATGGGCAGAAAAAAATCAGACCAGATCCTTGGGAAAGTGGCATTCTAAGCAAACATACTAGGTTTAGAGGTATTAGGTTATGGAAACTTGCATTTCAGAAGCTGCAATAGTGTTGTGGGAAGAATGACATACCAGAAGCCTTCTCCTGAGCTTCAGCTATCTTATCTTCAGAATGGACGTAATAACAACAAACTTGTTGTTGGTGCTAAGTGCCATTGAGTTGTCTCCGACTCATAGTGATCTTGTCTGGGGTTTCCGAGGAGCTGACCTTGTGCTTAGCAGTTCAGTGCTGATCTACAGCGCCACACCAGGAACCCAATTAAACTCGTAGGTGTGTACAAACACACGAGGCTCTATAATGTTAGGGAGGAGTCCTGGTGTGGCGTGGTGAGTTAATGCACTGGACTGCAAAGTCGGTTTGAACCTCAAGGTTGACAATTCAAGCTCACCAGTTGCACCTAGGAAGCCCTATACAGGGTTGCTATGGGTCGAAACCAACTCAACAGCACTTAACAACAACAACAGCAAGTGAGTGGGATTCTTTTCTGAGGAATGGAAGTTAATCAAATATTTTTCTTTTTTCTCTAAATTTTCTTTGTTTTGTGGTTGTTTCAAATATATTTCTTATTGGAGAGGTAGTCACAACTGCTGAAGGATCCACAACACTTCATCAGCATGCCTTCCAGGTGTTTGTAATGAAGACTTTTTAGCGAATTGGAATAGTAAACAGAAGTAAAACCCTTGCAAAGTATCATCTATCTTTGATGATTACAGGCACTTTAGTGTGCTGTAGGACTTCAAGGTCATAACATTGGTTGATATTGTGTTACTGTGCTTAAAAGTTAAGAGACTACTGTGAATGGAGTTCACAGATTATTTGGAGGGAAGAAGACTTTCTTCACAATTGTAAATCTGCTTTCGAGTGTTAATTTTGAATGGAGTTGCTTCAAAGAGTTTGTGCTCCAAGATAATTCCTCATGGGTTAGTAGCTTCTTATTTTTTAAAAAAAATCACAAGTCTTATTTAAGAAAAAAAGATGCTGAAACACACATAAGTACACATTGCTAGCTGCTGGTATCAAGTACCAGTGGCTAAACAGGGTTAGGGGTTAGGAACTTAAGCTCCCGCAGAGTGCTTCACCAAAGGGAGCAGGGTTCTCCTATTAGATCTCAAGAAAGAAGGTCAGACTTTTATTTCAGTGGGTAGAAATCTGGAACAATTGCCAGGCATGTTCATCTTTGGGGAAACCAGTTTCTTTTTTTCTAGTAATTTTCAAAACTCTAAGACACTAACCCATCTATAAGGAATTAACCGGTCCACTGGCTCTTCAAAACAACTCCGTTCAAATAACACTTCAAATGTTGACTAGGTTATAATTGCAGACCTTCCCATCACTGCCAAGAAGATCAAAGCACTTGAACCCTGTTGCCAGTGGTTGTGCATGCACACATGTGTGCTTTAGCATCTTTCTCATAGGAGTAGTTTTATCGTACTTACTTGCCGTCTGAGCTCTCCAGAAGACTGCGGTAAGTGGCAATCTCACACTCCAGTCGGGATTTGACATCCAGAAGAATTTCATATTCTTGGTTCTGTCTTTCCAGGGAGCACCGGATCTCTGCCAGCTGAGCCTCCAGGCTATTGATCAGACACTGGATCTGGGCCAGCAGGGTCGTGTAGCGGGCCTCCGTCTCCGCCAGCATGCATTCCTGAGAATCTCTCTACCACGGAAGAAGAAAGGTAGGGTTTGTAATGATGACTCCTTTAAGCTCAGCTCAATGTATATCACTTATGATCTTCTTGGGTTTTGATGGTAGTTTTTTAGAGACAGGTTCTAATGGATCTCCAAGCCCTTTTATTACTTCCTAAGCAAATGGAGTTGCTATATAGGGTCATAATGAGTTGGATTAAACTCAACAGCAATGGGTTTGGTTTTTAAGCAAATCAAATCTATACAAAAAAATGATCAACTATGCTCAAGCTTACTTTCCTTTATCTCCTCTTTATGCCTTCCTTTAAGTGTTTTCCTCCTCTTCCTCTTTCTTAGTCCTGTGATAATCTCCTATCACACTCTCTTACCTGTGAGGGGAAAAATATTTCAACTCATTTCATATCCAGTCATTAAAATGTGTTATCACGGCACCCTATTCAAAGGAAGTTAACAACATTTAATCAAACACATTCTTTCCTTTCTGGATCAAGTACTCTATTTGTGAAATACGAGCATTGAAACTTGGATGATTAATGTTCGTTCCTGCTCTATTATTCGCTAAGTCTCATTTTACGTTTTAATACCCTATTATTTGCATGATTATTCACATTTTTATAGATGAGAAAACTGAGGTTCAAGAGGTTGAATGAATTGCCCGAGGTTCTATGATTAGTAGTGACAAAAGCAGTTCGGGGCCAGAGGTCTTCCTATCTGAAGATCCCCTTCAGATCAATTAGACACTGTCCTGCTTCAGAGAAGGCAGCTTAATGAGAGGCAAAGGTAGCACTAGCTTTGGAATCTGACTTTTGGCTCAGCCTCTTCTTTTTGTGACTTTGGAAAAGTTGTTTAAAGTCTTAAGATCTCAGGATCTCTACTTATAAAACAAAAGAGATGAAACTTTGTGATGGCTTTGGCTTGGGAAAATCACCTTTACTATCTGAGACTCATCTGTAAAATTGGTTTAATAATTATGCTAGTTCATTAATAAGATTGTTTTGTAAATCTAATGCGATTATTAGATGTGAAGATTATCTACCCCCTATCCCTCCAATGTTTCCCAAAGTATACTCCATGGATCATTATTACCATGAATTGTTCTTTAAAAAGTGTTCTTGGTCAGATAAGTTTCTGAATGCTAAATACCATATATCTTTTCTTGGAGTTTGACCTGAAGGAAGGAAGGCAGCCCGTTTAGCCTTTGTTTAATCCAGCATTTCCTAGACCTACTTGACCTTTTTTTTTTTTTTTTTTGGTGATAGTCCCTTTAACACCAGAGGAACTGGTGGTCTGGTGGTCTGAGGAACAGAGTTTGGGGAGCATTGTATTACGTAGATGTCGGGCACTGTTGACGTCATTGCTAGGATTGGTAAGCTTTGTGGATACCATTCGATGCTGGGCCTGCAACTCAATCTCCAGCGTGTTCACGGTACGTCTCAGTTCAATGATCTCCTTCTGGCAACACTGCTGCTGTTGGGAGCTTGTCACCACCTGTTGGTTTAGCTCCTCCATCTGAAACACAGTTAAAGACTGTTGATATTATGACAGGGAAACACGTCTTTGATTTAGTGGCTCCTGGAAATGTGATACCAGTTGAATACTTTAGACTTTTCTGCTCTTCCCACCTGCATGTTGAACCATTGTTCCACGTCTCTGTGGTTTGTTTCTATAATGGACTCATACTGGCATCTCATTTCTTGTAGAACCTGGTTTAAGTCAACTGAAGGGGCAGCGGTCACTTCAATGTTGAGTCTGTCACCAAGCTGACTCTGTAAGGAATTGATTTCCTGTAGAAAGGAAAAAAAGACCAAAAAAAAAAAAATAATGAACAAATGACCTCCTTAGTAGACTTTTGTCATTCTAACAGCAATAATTTAGCTTAATTGTGTCTGACAAATAGCCCACAATAAGGGAATGTGTGTATATATATATATATATATATATGATTTATAGGTGCTATTGAGATATTATAAAATAACTTAAGGCTATTTCCCGTATGACCTTGTACATAAACTATATGCAAAGCTAAAAGGAATTGGCTAGCAAGATCAAGGTTTTAAAGAATTTAAACAATTCTAGGCATGGCTAATGGGTGAAGTAGCAAAGAGTTGGAATTTATAATGAGAGGTCATAATCCCTATGATGCCAAAATGGATTTGTGCCCATACTGACTTGTACTGATACGAGGCAGTAGAAGTCCATGTAGGGATATCTACAAAAAGGTAGGAAACCTATGATGACAAGAAAACTGGCTTTCTGTCTCCTTCATGAGAGGAGCCAGTGGATGGAGGCTTTTCTGTCCCATGTGACTTTCGGTGCTGAACGCGTGGCAGCACCCATGGGAATTTATTACCAGTGCTAAAAGCCAGAGCAGCATGTAGTTGTAAAGTTCAACTCAAAGGAATTGCTGCTCTTATTAGAGGCTTTGCTTGGGAAGATTCTCTTGGTCTTTGACTCACCTCTTTATGGTTGCTTTTGAGGCAGAGGAGCTCCTCCTTCAGAGACTCCATTTGGGCCTCCAGGTCTGCCTTTCCCAGGCTCAATGCATTCAGGATTTGCTGCAGGCCCTTGGCATCTGCCTCCACCAGCTGGTGTAGGGACACCTCCGCTTCGTACCTTTAAAAATGAGACATGAAAAGAACATCCGTGGTTAAAAGGTAGATGAGAAATCAAGTCAAACAGAACTCCCTTCTGCATTTTTCTCTGCTCTCTATTTTACTCTGTTTCTTTCTATTATGGATTTTGTTCCCTTTAGAGATGAAAGCATTGGATAAACAGGACCACTGAATTATTATTCATAAATATTTTCCAGGCTGCTGCGATGTTGCTAATTCTTTGAGATGATGCAAGTTTTCCTTTTCCTGCCCTTAGAATTAGCTCTGTATAAGTAGGAAAAATGCCGATGACTTAGAAATCCTGGTCCCACATTTTGGTTCTGGCTTGTACTAGTTGTACCCCTTTAGATAAGTCACTTAATTAAGCCAGCGTTTTCTCATCTTAAACAGACAGCAATATATTGTTGTTGTGTATCATGGAGCCAATGGTGACTCTTAGCTACTCTGTATGTCCCATAGGGTTTCCTAGGCTGTGGGTTAATGTGCTGAACTGCAAGGTTGATTTGAACCACAGGGCCACTATGAGGTGGAACCAACTCGACAACGCTTAACAATAACAAGAAGCCTGGTCTTTTCTTCTGCAGAGCAGCTGGTAGCTTCAAACCACTGACTTTTTGACTAGCAGTCAAGTGCTTAGGTTTTGTACCAGCAGGGCTCCTTTAAACAATATACAAAAGGGGCTTCAAAAAAGTTCATGGGAAAAAAGTTCATTATCTTTTAATTCCATTTCTCCACAAACTTTTTTGAAACTCCCTTGTCTTAGCCCCTACCTACTTGTGCAGTGATTCATTTGGTTGAATCATTGCACAAGAAGTAAGATGGCTTCATAATTAGAAACTACAGGTTTTATATATACATAACTGTTATTAATCCTAGTTCATTATTGAATTTGAATATCTTTTCTGGGTTAGTGCTAACAGGGCCTGGGGACTGAGGGATCCTCGTATCGGCAGTGTTTAGTGTGAGACTCAGGGTGAATTCTGTCATGCATGGTGGTATTGCGGGGGGGCTTACTTGGCTCTCAAGTCATCAGCAGCCAGTTTGGTGTTGTCAATTTGTGAGACCAGCCTGGAATTCTCAGCCTTGGTACACAAGATCTAGAATTAAGAAATTGTACACACAAATGAGACAAACACCGAATTTCCTATAAGAACCAAGGGTCTTGTGTATTTCAGTTGATAAGGGAAGACTGGTTGGGGTTTTCATTAAGCTTAGTAAACTTGAGACACTTTGGAAAGTCAAAATGTTTGTGTTTTTCTTAAAAGATTGGTACAAATCCCCCCCAAAACCCATCCTAAAGTTTCATAGCACACCACAATCCATTAGAATGTAAACTGCATGAGGACAGGGGCTTTTTAATTCACGATTATTTTCCCAGATTCTAGAACAGTGTCTAGTAAATTACTGTTGGCATTCAGTAAATTTTTGAACTAATAGCTGAATAAATCCAATATGTGTAATAGCATTGTATCAGCCTGAATAGGAAACCTAGCTCTGGTGTGGGGAGAAACTATTTAAGCAATGTGGAGGTGATGAAATAAGCCTAAAAGGAAAAAAAAGAAAATAAAAAAGGAGTGGAGCAAAATGAATAAAAACCAAGTTGCTTAGGAACTTCTTAAAACAAAATGCATGTTCTCAGATCCACATTTTCTTATTTTTTGATAACAGTAGCAACAGTTTGTTAACACATTTTGATCCTGAGTTAACTGCTTATAATGATAGATCATATCTGGGAAAATGAAGAGCTATAAGACTCTGAATATTATAGCAAGATGACACCTTCACTCCAGAGATTGGTCTTATTTTACAAAATACTTTTCACCATAAAACAAAATTTAAAATATTAAAGTTTAGCAAATGACTCTTTCTTGAAGACCACCCATTCACAATTGGATTATAAGGTTCCTGAGAGCCTTACCTTCTGCTGAAGCTTCTCAATGATAGTGTAGTAGGTCAGGTATTCAGGACAAACAATAGGAACTTCTTTGTTACACTCCTCCTGGATTTTACACTCCAGATCAGCATTCTCTCGTTCCAGCATTTGCACCTTTTCCAGGTATTTGGAAAGGCGATAGTTCAAGATTTGCATAGTTTCTTTCTCATTACTGTTGATACCTTCACCACACCAGTTGCAGTCGTCCAGAGAGACGCAGGTATTGAAGGTGCTTGGTAGGCAGATGGGCATGCGACAAAAGCAAGGAGTAGTATGGCAGCTCTGGGCCTGGGGATTTCTGAGAACACAGCTAGTTGATTGGCAGCTCTTGGTTTCAAGACAAGTAGCATGGCAGCTTTTGTTTGGAGAGATGGTCTTCAAATTTGTAATCCTAGAGCAGTTTTGGAGAGTAGTTGATGAAGAATCGGTTGTACAGCCCTTGGTATCCATATATGTGTCCAGCTTTGGTTTTGTTTCAAGTCTGTGTTCCCTTGATGGAAAGCTCAAACCACTTGGACTGCGTCTAACTACCAAGCCTCTTGGGTTCTCTTTGAAGTGCTTATATAGCCTTCCCTCTCGGTGTCACAACAGGCAGGATGTTTTCCTTTCTCAGGTTTACATCAAATCCCATAGGAACATCTTATTAGTCTACTTTTTACTCGCCTGAGAAGAGTTACTTGTCTCATAAAAACGTGCATTTAGGCTGTTACTAAGTTATTACCCATTACAACCATTATTTGTCATTGGACCCAGAGCTTCGCATTGTATCTTCAAAAGGAACTGACTGTCGTCACAGTTCTGACAGCATCCATTATTAAGCAGGTGTGAGTTTATTAATTTCATTAAGTCCTTGTTGACCTCTCCACCTGGCATTGCACTTGACCAGGAGTGAATCCATTGTTCCTTTCCTTTCTTCTCTAGAAAAGGGAAACCGTGAATATCTAATCATTATTGGTGAACTTAAAAAATGCGATTTTATTTTGTTCTGCCCAACTAATTTTCTCATTTTCATTTTTAGGACGTTGTATGTGTGGATTAAAATTTTAGCTTTAGATAAGGTGATTGCTAGATTCATGCTTTAGTCTTCTAGGCAGTGTATGATTGTTAATAAGAAATCTCTTGGGGAAGACTGGCTACCTTTGCTTTCCCTATGCTCACATTTTACAAAAGTTTTCATGTTCAGTATTTGGTTGTGATATTACATGAGTTAAAAATTTGCTATGGTGGTGGTTTACATTTGTTGATTGAATATCGTCTGCTGAGAAGAATTAATTTTTTTTCTCTCTGAGGAACAGCATTTTCTTAAGAAAGTTGCTTACTTTGATCCTGTATATGAACTAAAAGGAAGTATTTAATGAGTAAACTTAAGAGATGTATATGTAATTTAAAGCAACATCAATGTGGCAACTGTTTACGTCAGAACAGCAGCAATAACAATAAATGTTTCTTTCTTGGATGCACAATGAAAAATTTCCCTTTTCTAATTGGAGAGAAAATATATATATATAAAAGGGGGCTTCAGCAAGTGTCGGAGAGAAATTCCCATTATCTTCTAATTCCATTTTTCCATGAGTTAAAAAAATTCCCTCATAATACATATATTATGTTGAATTTTTTGAACCCCTCACAATGTATTCTGTTATATTTTGCACCAGTTGTTGTTGTTAGGTACCATTGAATCTGCTAGTTGCCGTAGTCTGCTCCAGTGACTACTGTCTATTTGTTGACACTAATTTTGTTCTCCTGATGTGTAGAAGACGTTCAGCTCACTGCTGTTGAATACCCAGGGTCTGCAGATGGAAATCTTGAACCTGTTGCCTCACCCACTTCATAGGTCACCATTCTTTTAGCTTCTGTCGTCCTTTTCCAGCCCTTTAGGCTGACACTGAACTATGTTCTTGCCTCCTCAGACACTAACCCTATTAAGAGGCATTAGTGATGATTCCCACTTATTAAAGAGGAAACAGAAGCACAAAGGGATTGAATAGCTCATCCATGGTTACACAGCTCGTCATTGGTCAAGCCATGACTCAACCCTTACCATCTATACCCATCACAGCTCAGTGTTTTTTCACAACCTTTATTTTTGCTCTTGAAAATAGCCTTGGTTTCTCTTGATCCTTTGTAAAATTTCAAGAAAAATGCAGTTGTATTTTTGACTATAATTTATTAAAATCGATGGATGATATGGGGAATAATTACCCTATGCTTTCAGTACTGGGTCTTCACCACCATTACATGAGATGCTGTTGTTGTTGTTGGGTGACATCAAGTTATTTCAACTCCCAGTGACTCTCTATTGACTCTGTATTGACTCTCTATTGGATTTCCAAGGAGAGGCTGGTGGGTTTGAACTGGCTGACTATGCAGTCAGCAGTCCAATAGAACTCTATTTAGTTTGCTCTCCTGTATGTCTTTCAGATTTTACATATGCTTGTATTCTTAGAAACCATATGTTGTTGTTGTTATGTGCCGTGGAGTCAGTTCCGACTCATAGTGACCCTGTACAGGGTTTCTGAGGCTGTAAATCTTTATGGGAGCAGAAAGTCTCATCTTTCTCCTGCGGAACAGCTGGTAGTTTTGAACTGCTGTCCCTGAGGTTTGCAGCTCGATTTGTAACCACTATGCTACCAGAGCTCCTTTAGAAACCATGTAGTTATTGTTTTTTTTGCTGTTTGTAGGTACCGTTGAGTCAACTCCGGCTTCAATGCAACCTACACACACAGAACAAGCACTGGCCCATCCTATGTTATCCTCATAATTGCAGTTCTGTTTGAGCCCATTGTTGCTGCTCCTGTGTCATCCCATCTCATTCAGGGTCTTCCTTTCTTTGCTGACCCTCCATGTTTCCAAGCATGATGTCCTTCTCCAGGGACTGATCCTTTCTGACAACATGTCCAAAGTACGAGAGACAAAGACTTGCCATTCTCCCTTCTCAGGAGCATTCTCCTCACTGGATTTCTTCCAACACAAATTTGCTCATTCTTCTGGCAGTCTTTTGCACTTTCAATATTCTTCGCCAACACCATAATTCAAATGTATTGGTTCCTCTTGTTTATTCATTGCCCAACTTTGACATGGATATGAGACAATTAAAAATACCATGGCTTGGGTCAGACACATTTTAGTCCTCAAAGTGATATCTTTGTTCTTGTGTAGCAGATTTGCCTAATTCAATATGTCATTTGATTTTTTGACTGCTGCTTCCATGAACATTGATTGTGAAATGTTTTTGATAACTTTGATCTTTTCTTCATTTGTCATGATGTTATTTCAATAATTTCAATTGATTCAGATGTGAGGATTTAAATTTTCTTTATATTAAGGTGCAATCCATGTTGAAGACTGTAGTCTTTAGTCTTAATTGGTATTGCAAGTCCTCTTTGCTTCCAGCCAGCAAAATTGTGTTATCTGCTTGTCACAGGTTGTTAGTGAGTCTTCCTCCGATCCAGATGCCATGTTATTTGTCATATAATCCAGCTTCTCAGAGTATTTGCTTAGCATATAGACTGAATAACTCTGGTGAAAGGAAAAAAACCTGACACACTGTGAATTATTTCCTGTGTCTCTTCTAGCCATAGCTTTTGTAACTCCCACCAAACAACTCTTTTCCTGGTGAATCTGGGTAAAAGAAGATGGAAGAAAATGTAGATAGGATGATATGATGCAGAATGACTGTCAACAGAATTAATTTTGGTTTTGAAAACTCAGATGGCTATAAAATGAGCTATCTCAGAAGCAGGAAGGGATATTTCACTATCATCAAGAAGAAAGAGTCAGGAGTGGAGGACATCATTTGGACCCTGAGATCTCTGTGCATTGAAGCACAGGGACAGAAAACTGTGACACCAGAGCAGTGGAAGAGGAGCAGCAACCGCATAACTAAGAGCCAGGACACATGGCAGAATGAATGGTGGACTTCCTGGCCCATGGAGCAAGGAAAGTTGAGTGCTGTTGGAGGCACATTTGTAGATTGGGGTGCCTCCAGGCACTTAATTGGGAGAGTTAGATTTGCTGACTCATGGAGCTAGAACAGAGTGCCTTCGGGCTAAGACTTATAAGGAAGTGGAGTGCCTTTTGGGCATTGATCAGCAATAGCAAAAAAGCTCTGTAATATTGCCTTAGCAGAGCAGAGGCCAGGCCATGGGACTGAAGGCCAGAGAAAGAGATGTGCCTGCAGGCATAGCAGAGAAGAAGCTGTCCTATATCTTGAGCATTTTCTGATCCTGCATTGTTACCTGTTCATTTCCCTAAGAAGCCCCATAATCATGAGTATTGTTTCTGAGTTCTGTGTGGCCATTGTAATGAATTATCTGTCAAGCCCTGCTGAGTAGACAGTGCCTTCCGTGGGATAGTACATCCTTGTTGATGTACTGCTGCAACTGCTTTTGAACTTCTTTGCAAAATTTTACATATGTGTGATATTAATGATTTTTTTGTTTTTATGATTTTCATATTCTGTTCTTTGGAATGGGCACAAATATAGATCTCTTCCAATTGGCTCACCAGATAGGTGTCTTCCAAATTTCTTGGCACAGATGAGTGAGTGCTTCCAGTACAGTATCAGTTTATTGAAACATTTTGATTTGTATTCTGTCAAATCCTAGATTTGTTTTTCACAATGCCTTCAGTACAACCTGGGTTTCTTACTTAAATACCATTGGTTCTTGATCAAATGATATCTCTTGAAGTGGCTTAATATCAACCAATTCTTTTGGATGCTGTTACTCTGTGTATTCCTTCCATTTTCTTTTGCTACTTCCTGTGTCATTCAATATTTTGCCCATAGAATAAATACTTTAATATTGCAATCTGACCCTTGATTTTTTTTTTTTTTTTCTTTCTTCAGTTCTTTCATCTTGAGAAATGCTGAGTGTCTTCTTCCCTTTGGTTTTCTAGTTCCAGGTCTTTGCACATTTCATTATACTTGACTATGTCTTCTTGAACTACCCTTTGAAAGTTTTTGTTGCTTCTGTTCTGTTATCATTTCTTCAACATTTCTGTGTTCAAGAACAAGTTTCAAAATCTTCTGACACCATTTTGTTTTTTTCTTTTTTTTCCTATCTTTTTAATGACCTTTTGTTTTCTTCATATATGATGTTTTTGATGGCATTCCACAAGTCTTCTGAACTTTAGTCATTAGTGTTCATTGTGTCAAATCTGTTCTTGAGATGGTCACTAAATTCAGGTGGGGTATACTCAAGGTTATATTTTGTCTTTCATGGACTTGATTTAATCTTCTTCAACTTCAGCCTTACTGACATATGTCCAATTGATGGTCGTCCCACAGTCGGCCTCTGGCCTTGATTTGATTGATGATGTTGCGCTGCTCCATTGTTTCTTCCCACAGATGTAGTCAATTTGATTCATGTGTATTACGTTTGGTGAGGTTTGTGTGTTTAGTCACATTTGCAATGAAAAAGTCCGTGGTCTTGAAAAATTCTGTCATG